AGGCTCAAGTTTCAACACCTCAGAGGATTCATTGTGTTAAGAATCATGTTAAAATGTATAATTTATCAAATTGTATTTTACTGTGCTTGAAATTTCATCTTTTATTTATTTAAGGCAGTAAAGTATGGGGACGAAAATCCGACCAGCCAGAAAACAAAAAGGCTCAAAATGGTTTAATTATTTCAAGATTTTCTTTTTCTTTAAAGAAACTGTTTGAATTTTTGGACAATATGCATATTGGATTTCTTGGAGAGAGTTTGATTAAATGACCAGTAGCACTCTTGTGTCTGTGTGTTTTTCATGTGAAGCTACAGCCAGGGCTTAGCTCAGTTAGCTTAGTTTAAAAAAAGGTTAACTAATCCACCGACCAGCACTTTTAAAAGGTCACTAATCCAGACATTATATTGTGTTTGTTAAATCAACACTAAAACAAGGTGTATAAAAAGACACATTTCCATGTTACAGCAGGTTCTGTGCCAAACGATGTCAGGACCAAGAAATAGTTCTTTTATACACTTTGATTTTTGTACAGAACAAATGAGATGAACATGATCCAGAGGTGCTGGCAGGTGGCTTCAGTTTCCTTTGGACATGTCTCCCCTTGTTTCTAGTCTCTAAAGTACTTTGATGAAAGTAAAATACTCTATGTTTCAACTTATAATTAGAAAAGATGTTGGGGTTATAAACCTTCTTCTACAGAGGTAAGGGAACATGCTTGTTTGGTGCAGATCACATCTTCATAATGTTTTCATTTTATTCAGTGAAAATGAAATCAGCGTCGAGAGGTACCAATATTCTCAGATATGTATAAACAAGAAAACAAATGGCCATTTTCCCCAGAAAGCCGAAAGATTGAACTTAACATTAATCATAAACATTCCTGCCTACAGATAATGAGCGTACTGGTGTTACCATCAGACTAATGATAACAACATACATCTGCTCATATGGTCTTGAATCGTTCCTGCAGTGAAACTATCAGCTGCAAGAAAATGGAATGGGTCTTTAAATTCCTTCAATTACAATATTTAAAACATTCTCAAACAGCAAGGAACATAAGAGCACACGGTACGACGGTGGACTGGACGATGTTTTGAGGACACAACCTCTTGCTCGTGGTCGCATCAGTTTCAAATCAAACTAACGACTGAATGTTCTGGCTCCACCATGGCCTTGATCAAACCCCCAGTGATTCCCTTCAATTTTGCACACCACAGTAACTTGAAAATATCTTTATCAAACTGTGTCTTTGTGCTTGAAGAAACCTTTAAACAGGCACTTTGCTAAGACCATATAATGGGAAGTTTGTGCTTTGAATTGATTTAGGGGGTCGGCTTTCAGTCTGTGGTCACATTTTAGGCTCATCCTGCAAAGTACTTGGCTGCAAAGACACTAACTTTACTCAGACGAAGAGGAGTGTGACGGCAGAGAGGAAGCAGAGCAGAGAAATAAAACTGTTGGATCGGAATCAAGAGACTTTACAAGACTGCGTGAGTCCTCATGACTCTCAAGACTATTGCTGAGATGGTCACAGTTAACATGCGCACAACATGGCATGTCGGAGTGTTGTCAGTGAGCTGAATGACTCCATGCAGAGTCGTACATTGGTTTCTTGTCACTTAATTTGTGGTCACAGCTGAGTGGAGGATACTGAACTCTGGGAAATGTTTTGACAGTTGGATGTGCTGGAAGGAGTCCTCACCATGAGCGGATCACAGGCACGTCGCCCCCTCTGGAGGACAACGGAGCTGCTTCTCTATTATACAACGCAAGTAATAATATCTGCAAGTAGAAGACAAACAGAGGAAGAGAGTCAGTGAAGTTACAGGTAATGATATTAACAACACGATCAGTACAGTGTGTGACAGTGTTAGTGAGCTCATAGATGTTGGACATGATGAAGGTTGTGGTCATTATAGACAAAACAAAAAGACACAGGATGATGTAGTGTGGTTGGATATTTAGGTTCTTGTACCTTCTCCTGAGTTTCTGCACCTCTCTGTCCTCCTCCTCCTTCAGCTTGATGATGAAACTCTGCAGGACAGGCATCTCAAACTTTATATACTGCGCCACCTGGTGGACGAGAAGAGAATGTCATGACAAAGGACACAAAAGTGAGGGAAATAAAGACGTAAAGAGGTATTGGAGACAGATGCAATCATTTTGTTGGTCTCACAACATCTGTATCTCTGTATGTCTGAGTCCCCTTTAAGGAAGAAGTAGATTTACATCGTATGTGACTTCTTCCACCAGGTCTTCTTCCATGAGGAAAACCTTGCAGACCTGCTCACATGGACCCTGCATCACCCTGAGCACCAGAGGATAATCACTGCGCTTCAGTTTCATTCGCTCTGAAACATCAGACAGAGCAAAGAAATCTGGTGTGAATGACGATGGCACTGTATGATCACAAATAATAAATCAACAGAGTAATTCACACTCACCTCCGCTTGCATGGACAAGGTAGAGCGCGAAATCATCGGGGCTGTTTTCAATTTTAAACTTGTTGAGGAGGACTCGCAGCACCTGAGGTGTCCTCATGCAGCTGTTGATGCGAACGTTGGTCACTGAGCCAAAAGCAGGAGTAAACACTGCCGTCTGCAGAGAGGACAAAACAATAACATGAATGATTTATGAGCATTAATTCATGTACAGATACAGACGTGCATGAGTCGTAAAAAGCCAAATCAATCAGTGTTTTTCTTCTTATGTGTTAATTATACCCTCATTTAACAGCTGTAAGCAGCACATTAACATTTCAATGAATGATGACACGCTATCATGCATTTGTTCGGAAATCTAAGTGTTTGGAAATAACCACAACTCCTCCTGTGGCCACTCTTAAGTGGAGACTGGTGTATAATCAGATAATGATACTTTACATCATGTTTTAATGGGAGAAGATGGAATCACACCTTCTTCCAACAGCTTCTTTTTAACTGTTTATATTCTGCTAATATACGCTACACTGGGGCACACCATCACCTTATGGTTGTAGAAGTGTCCGTTGATGGAGAAGCGATGGCGTCGTATCTTCCTCTGGTCGCTCGGTGACCGTCGCTGGCCCCGTCTCAAGACTCCGGCATCACTCTTTGTTCGTAGGAGCTGAGCGGAGCTCTCACTCTCCTCTGTCCAATCAACAATCATGACATTAGATCATCAGTTATTATTCAGTGTCCCCTCAGGATGTGGACTCTAAATTAAGGACGTCACATCAATGAAGGTTCCTTCCACTGTTTCTGTCATATTTGTGTTTGCAATCTTAAAAATAGCTGTTACACTTCAATATTTATATTTATACACTGAAATAAATCATGGTGAAACTATGAAAGTTAATACCATATGTACAGTAGTGAACAAAATGTGTATTTCTATTGCTGTGATAAGGACAGCATGGTGGTATTTTGTCTTAACATCCAACTGAAGAGAACTTTACAGCAAAACAAACTCTGGTCAAACTAAAAATAAGGTTTTATTCCTCGCTCACGAGAAGTTGCCATTTTGGAAATGATCGGTCACGGTGTGCTTATATAAACAGTGGAGAGTTAATTAGGGATGTGGCGCACAGTGTTTTAAAGCTGAGTTAATTTGATCTCATTGAACCTAATCCAACGTTTCCTTTTTTGTCTTAACAACTGATGAGACAACAGAAATAAAACAAGTGAAACGCCCTTGACCAAGAACTGAGGTATGATGTGATTACAGCCATTGGAGCACGATACAACATGTTACTATATTTACGTTATACCGTCAGTAAAGCCACTCACCGTCTGTCTCCTGTTCCATCTCACCGTTGTCCTCTGGTTGGCTGTTGGGTGGCGTCACTTCCACTGTGGGCGGGTTCTGCTCTGTCGACTGTTGACCGTCTGTGCTGTTGGGGGAACTATAATCAGGAAACAAGAGAGAGCAGAGAAGTGAGGGACGGAGAGACACGCTGTGAAAGAAAAAGAGCACAACTGTGACGATGCAGCTGAAAATATTGTGTCGAGAATGTTGATGCTTTTACAAAATCACCTTCTTGTAACTTCAGCTTGTTGGAGTTGCTGCACTGTGTTTGAAATATGATTACATATGATTTAAATCTGACCTGTTAGTTGATGATAAGTACATTTTTTTTGCCCGTTTCTTCGAAAGGCTGTTCTTCAACATTTTCATTGATTTCTCAGAGAGAAATTCATTGATCATATCATATTTAGTGGACTGATATTTGGTGCAGATCCAAATAAAATCAGGATCTAGTAAGTTTGACTTTCATTAGGGGATTGTTGGGTGATGGCGGAGGAATGCATTCTACTGAGAGCCATTCTAGTTTTTAAGCATTCAGTCATTTACCTATTTCATAAAATGTTAAAATGTTATTTTGTCAATTTCCTATAAGTCATCGTTTCCCATTAGAAAAACTAGACATAATCTATATCTGCCCTCATTGACCTACAACGTCTCACCATTTCCGGTCAGTGATGTGTAACTGAATCTGTTCAGGCCTCTTACCCTTGACTGTCCAGATTACACCCAGAATGCCAGGATGTAGAGGAGGGGGGCGGTCGGATTCGCTCGTGGTCATCCTGCATCTGAAGCCTGATTGGTCGACGCAGGCCCCAAAAGATGTTCAGCAGGCCCTCGACAATCAGCTCCTCCTCTTCCTGATGGGAAAGAGGAGAGGTGCTGGGATCAATGCACACATGCACAGACACACACACACGCACAGACACACACACAAACACACACTCACTTCTCTGTGTCGGAGCTGTAGATTTTGTCCTTCATAGTAGAGATTGTACGTCTTCAGGTGGGAGAGGATGGTTGCCCTGGAGACAGAGATGCTGAATCACTGAGGAGGAAATGCTGTTTGAAGTAGCTCGCTGCTGATTTGATAACATTAAACATTAAACTCACAGAAGCTTATGAGTTGTCACAATCTGATCTCACTAAAAAAACTGTGTTATACTTTTATCATTTACCACCTGTTTGCAACCCGGGTCTGATTTTCAAACAACCTTGTGTTTTGGTAGCCGACTCGTTAATGTTGGATACTGGAGCAAACTGGAGCAAACTGGTACCGGTTGTTTTATATTGGCTTGCAGGCCTATTGTTCTCAGGGGAGCAGAACAGAAACCTCAGTGGCTCCCTCATGGAGTTTCTTTCTAATCTTTATTCAAGAGCGAGTTCTTCTATTCTGAGGGCATTATCTTTACATTTCACATTCAGACTTAAAGCCCTCTCTGTTCTCCTCTTCAGTACCGTTTGTCTGCACTCAGATATACTGTCGCCGCTCTTTAAATATCCTGTGCTCTCAGTTTTTACTCGGTCTCAGCCTGCTTGAAACTTCTGCTCTCAGATTCCTGCTCTCGCTCTTTAAATGTTTTGTGAATCGGCCTTGTCAAGTTGAGGAACTGCAGGAGTTGTGGGACTCTACCTCATGTTGGAGCCCCGGGAAATTAGTTCCAGTGACTTATACCTCTGCAAATATTAGTATTTCTACTACAATCGATGAATCAGTCAATTAATAAATGTATGTTTGCTTGAAGGATCTTCCTTACACAATATTGTATTAAAACATAGATTCGATTTATATTTTAAGATGTGTATACAAATGTGAGATGTGTTCATGTGACGAACAGTCTGGTGTTCAATCCTTACTTGCTGATGAACTTGTTCTCTCCAATCTGGACCCCGTCCTGTGTCTCATTCATTTTCAGTGAGCATGAGGAGCTGAGAGACAAAGACGCGACACAGAGAGTTAATCATTTTCATCCATCTGATTCAGTCTCATGACTCCTCATGACCAGCAGCGAGCACAGACTCGGAGAGAGCAACAGGGAGGGGAGAAAAAGGACTGCAGGAAGAAGAGGAGGAGGAGGAGGTAAAGCTCCAGACAGCAAAACAAAAACAGCGGCAGATCATATCTACTTTCCTGTCAACTATTTCCTTCACGATGAAGACAGCTGATATTAACCACCGCTATGTCTCTGGGACACAATCCCAACATTTGTGGTGTGATGGATTCAGACGGCTGCTGTCCTCACTCTCCTACAATATAATACATTTAGTCTCAATTCTTTTCTTTCTGTCTCTGTCACACAAAAACACCCGGAAACACAAAATACACACACATGCAGCTGTTATCAATGGCACACTGCCACCCCCCCCTTTGCCAAGTGTGTGTGTGTGTGTGTGTGTGTGTGTGGAAGCCTCCTGAAAGAGATCCAGGACACACAGGCCACCTGCTGCACCAAATCATTTCTGCTTCTTAAACATGTATGATCACGCTACTGGAAGTACACGCTTTAAATTAATCTGACATATTTGCATAAACACAATCAGTAGATAACAGTCGCTGACATTAATACAATGTATGTTGTTTTTTTGTATTTGTTGCTTTCACACACAAACACATACAACAGTTGATAATTGACAATAAAAATAACATATAATTATAATGGACCATGTTTGAAGGCAGATTGTGCATTTTCAGATTCTTTATAGAGTGTGGTTAATACACCACTTTAGTCCAGAGGGAAATATCTCATTAACGATCTGATGCATTGATATTTAATGTTGTACATATACACATGGTCTTCTAGTGATTTCCTGACTTATTGTCTAGCACTGCGATGAGGTCGACCTTTTTAGTTTTTAGACAGGCGCAGTAGTTGGCCTCACATAAAGTCAGCCCTGGGTTTGAACCCTGATTGGACCGAGGCCTTTCGATGAAGAGTTTGCATGTTCTCCGTGTCTGTGTTGGGTTTTCTGCAGCCACTCTGCTTCCTCCCACACGTGAATGTGAGTTTAAACGGTTGTTTATCTCTAAATAGTTGTTTCTGAGCCGTCAGCGGTGTCCTCCACCTTTCCCTCAATCCTAATAGGTCTGATGATCCTCTGCGAACATGATGTTCATATTTGTCAAATGTCTAAAGCTGCAACTACAACTTATTTTCATTATAGACTCATTCTTTCCCTACGGTGACAAAATCAAGTGGCAGACTTCAGAAACTCGTCCAAGTTGTAATTCATCATCAGGAACACGACGTCTGCATTCATTTTTCAGCGTTAAATCATTTCCACCGCAGAAGTTGAATTGCCTCCTCACAGTAATTAACCCTGAGCTCAACATCAGTATCTACTCTTTCCTCCTTGTCTTGGATTAGACAAGTCATTCATATTGTATGGAAATAAACAGAGGAGGAAATCAACTGTTGAACCGTGGACATTTCTAAGAAACAGAAAGTCATGTGGTTTGTGGCCTCAAACATGTAACACAGTCAGCGTGTCTACAACAACTGACAACACACCGGTAACTGTCTGTAGCAAGAGTACGAGGGATCTTACCGTAGTGAAGACTGGGTTGTGTTGAGTCACAGAGAGATGGAGCTGGAGATGTGGAGAGAGAGAGAAAACCAGGATCAGACAGTATCCTCAGTGGTTGTTAACCTGGTGTTGATTTCAAGCGTCTACCAGGCCCTTTCTTTAAGTTTGATGGCGAACAGCCGAGGAAGTGGCGGGGGCGTTTAAAGGAAGTGCTCCCCTTCCGTTAAATCGCTTCCTCATTTACTCAGTCAGTCACACAGGAAGCTGACAATCGTCCTTGCACGGCCCAAAACTTCCTCAATTCAAGAAACGCAGATGAGTTATCATGCGCCCGCAGAGGGTTTACATACACGAGCACGTGTGGAGGATCTGATAAGACCCACACACACAGTCGTCTTGGAAACATATCATACGCATAACTCACAGCTGAGTCTATAACAAAGATGCTGATAAATAGCCAAAGGCTGTCAATCTCTGAAACAAAGTGTGCTCAGTTATTGTGAAACAAATTAAATATTAAACGCCAATCAGCCCAGCCCCCTGCAAGGCTCTATTAATATTTCAGCAACTATTTTAGGTCTGTAAAGCGCTCAACAGTCACCATTGACCTACACAAAGGAAATCATTAGCCTTTAATACTGTGGTCATGGTCAAGGGCAGCCACGCTCATGGTCTCATTAACAGGTGATGCCAGCGGGGGTGTGACTCGGACATTTTGATCGCCTGTGTTGTATCTTTCTCATGAAGCAACCAAATTATCTGACGAACAAAAGGGTTTGGTACATTTGTATTTTTGACTTTATCCAGATCAAGACCTCAGAGTTTTCAAACCACAGGAGACTTTTCACTCCAATGTTGATGTTGTGATATGATTCTAGATGTTTCTGGGGTTTGTGTTTATCGTAACGCTGAGACAAAGCCTCATATTTCCCCGACTGTAAAGGCTACGTGACAAAATTACTTTTTCAATACTTCTTCTTAAAGTATATGTTTGAAAATATATGATATATATAATATATGATGATTAAAGAAAGAAAATGTATCAAATGTACACACACTCACAAATAATCAATGAATTATTCCCTGGGAAAATAGTGAAAACGTCAAAGCTGCCCAATCTCACAATATTTAGGAAAATAAGAAAAAGTTCCTGGATCAGCCAATTCATGGAAATCCAGTAGTTTTTGCATAATCCTGCTGAGAAACAAACAAACCCAACAGACAGGGAAACAAAATTAGGAATCTAATGATGCAAAGTGTTGATACTCTTAAGCTGCAACCAGTTATTATTTCCATCATCAACAAATCTATAGATTTCTTTATGAATCTCTAACATTTGTGAAACAAAATGTGAACGTTAGGCCAAAGAATTTGTATATACCTTGATATTCTGAAACCAGTGATGGCTGTTGTCTGTTACAATCACAAAGACTCGATGAGCTGTATACGACATTAATCTGTCCTGGATTTGAGCCGTCAGCAGAATCTAAAGGACACCAGACAGATCCACAGACTCCCCTGTGCCTCATTACAAGATCAGCCAATCATCAGCCTCCATCTTTCCCTCTATCTCTGCGTCTTTATTCGCCTTTATCTGCTCCGTTCTTTAGTAACCACAGTGACTCGGTTTATTCGCGGCGGTCCAATCTTTCTGATCAGTGAATTCTTTCCTGGCTGCTGTCCGCCTGTTCTTCTCTTTCAGCGTTCTCCTCCGTCTCCTCCTACACCCTTGTGAGGCCATCCACCAACATGCTATTAAAACTCCACAACTTCCTGACTTTACCCCCACCCCCTCCACTCTCTCTCTCTCTTTTTCAGTGACACACATGCACGCTTGTGTTCTGCCCCCCCCGTCCCGTTTGCCTGTGAACCTCCTCTGTTAATGTCTTTGCCGGAGACGGATGATGAATAGCTCCTCTCCTCCTCCTGTTCACATTCAAACCCTCCACCACCACCTCGGCTCTAGCCTCCGCACCACCACTGCCGTCTCACTATTGTCACCATTGTCATAGCAACCCCAAAAACATCTGAGGATCAGCAACTATCCCACAGCCAAAAATACTTCATGTGTGTTTGTCTCTCCTGCTCCTACTCGGGTTGTCAAATATGACGCCAGGCTCGATCTGCATCTAAATATGGCTTCCATGTTCTCCAGATCCAGCCGGAGCTGTTCCTGCAGCTGATCTGTGTTTTTGTTCCCATAACCATTTCATCACTCAAGCAAAACTGTAAAAAAAACAATCCAAAGATTGCAGCTTTTTAAAACGTTTTGGTTTTCTTAACTGAATATCTTAAGGTTTGGGACTGATCCTGTCACAATGGGCTCTATTTAGGCTACCTGTCATTTTAAAAGACCAAACCATGAACTGAGAATATGATTAGTTTATTAACCAATATGACAAAGAACTAGAATGGCCTTCTGTGTGAAACCACATTTAAAATCACTAAATGCAGGTTTTTATTTGGATCTGCGCCAAATTCCTGGACTCGCCCCTCGATCTGGATCCACACCGATATTAAATAGTTCTTCTCTGACCCATAACACATCCTCCCACCAAGTTTTGTGAAAATCCGTCTGGTGGGTTTTTCATAACAAACAGACGAACGCAGGTGAAAACCTTGTTGGCAGTTAGTTAAGTTCGTGGTCGGCCTAGTTGACTAGATGTTATTAGTGATCAGTTAAAGCTAGTTCATAGGGTTCACTTATGGAAAACAAATGCAACCCAGTACAACAGCTGTCTAATAAATCAAAATGGCTAAAAGAGGAGCTCAATAAATTTGACAGGGACCTGGACAAAGGGGCGAATGAAGGATTTTTTATCCACTTTCTTTAACATGTGAGATGGAGACGTGCCCCCCCCCAACATTTTCACCTATTTACCAATTATTCATGGATTTAAATCAACAACTCTGACATATTGAGGTTATTTGTTGCAGCTTGGTTGAGGTTAAGGGACGTGTTGGGCCTTGAGAGGAGATTATGTTTTCATTGGCGTTGGTTTGTTTATTTCTTAGCAAGATTACGTTAAAACTACTGAACGGATTAATACTGAACTTGGTGGAAGGATCTGATGTGGGTCAAGACAGAAGTTGTAAATGTTTTGATATGGATCCAGATCAGGGGGCAGATCCAGGAAGTGGATTTCTAAATGAATGAAATCAGACATGTTAAGAGAATTGGTGTGTTCACTTAAAGGTTGAGCCTTGGCAGAGGTATGAGCTCTGTTTTTGAGAAGTGCTGCTCTTTCTGGATAATGGAGCTTGTGGTGCTGTTGAATGGTTTTATTTGTATTGATTTGTCAGACGGATGAAATGATAACAGAGTAGAATTCACCTATTCTGCAAGACATTTTTAAATAAATCTGAAACATTACAACCTCCATAAACATGGGTTTTATAGAACTACAGTACTTGCAGCTGAGTGGATCTAATTACAGGCCACAACGTTGTGCATTGACTTCTTGTGAGAGGGTCTGTCCTCCTGTCTGAATGTGAACTGAGCCACTGCTCCTTATGTAACGTGTTTTACTAAAACACAGCAACACACCGTCGGTTACTGTGTCAGTTACACACATGCTCTGCTCAGGATTCAGCTGGATCCTCACATGAAGTGATGTGGAGCATGTCTATTACATGTATGTCAACTGCCCACACATGTATGTGATAGCTAACATTCAGATGAGTCCGTGTAGAAACGATCCGTGGGTTTTTGTTGTCAGGACGTTTTAAAGTCTAATTTGGTTTCAGCAGTGAGGATATGAAACTACACCCAGTCCACGCCATCACGATCACACGTACTTAGCTGCATCGACGCTCCGCTCGGATTCCTGCCGACTTTCGGGGCTCCTCTCGGGGCTTCACTGAACCCAGGGACGCGGGCTCTGCGGTTCTTCTCCTCGGTGTCTCGCCTCGTCCTCCCCGGTCCTTCGCATCTACTCCTCCGGTCACATGAACTCCTCTTCTCCGCTTCTCTCCGGTGGAAACAATCGCACGGGCGCGTGTTCGTCTCCTCGCGAGCTGAGAATCGGGGAGGAGAGCGCGAGAGGAACATCTGTTGTCGCGCGTGAGCTCGACGCACGGCGGCGTCGCGGGAGGGGAGGGGAGGGGAGGGGAGAGGGGGGGGCTGGAGGGGGGTTGGTGGCAGAGAGCCAATCAGAGAGCGACCCTGACGCCCCTTTGTTCACACTGAATGAAAACATGACAACAATAGAAGAGCCGGTGAATACTACGACTCTAGTACTAATACACACACTAACAATCTACGACTCTAGTACTAATACACACACTAACA